ATTGGTAGTGGTGATGGCTAACGAGGTGCCTGTGTGTACCGACTAGAGGCGATTGTTGATAGTGGTTTTGGTTGATGGTGGTGGTTCTGGGTAGTAGCTAGTGGTGATTGATAGCGATAGTGATTATGGTTGAGAATGGTAGTGGATGGTGATAGTTAATAGATGGTGGGTGGAGGTGGTGGTTGTGGTTGTGATTGAGGAAGGTAATGATGGGTGGTGATAGTTTATAATGGTGGATGGTGTCATCTATGATTATTAATGCTGATGAGGTGGTTGGTTGTGGTAGTTAAGGTGGGTGAGTGCGTGGTTATGATTGAGGATGATGATGGTGGGGGTGGTGGGTGGTGGTAGTGGCGGCGGCTATGGTTGAGGATGGTGGTGGTGGTGGTAGTTGATAATGGTAGGGGGTGACAACAATTAGTAATGATTGTCGACGATAGCATCTTAATGAAATTAAGTCTTGGTTATAGATCTTAATCATACAAACCTATTCAGACCCATTAAGTGGTTGTGAATTAAAAAAAAATACATTTAATGATTAAGATTTGAATGTTTAAGATTCAAACTTAAAAATCAAACGCACTTACTGTCTGAGATCTGAATAATGAAGATTCAGACCTCCATTAAGATCTGAATAATTGAGATGTGAATGATCTTAATATTATCCATCGAGTTTTAAATCGTGTGTTATTGGTCCTTGAGAATTTTTCAGTTATTTGAGAAGAGAAATGAAATCTATTCTCCAACTAAGCTTGAAGCGAGAAGTGAAGCACATGCTTCTTAGAACTTAGAAGTGAAACGCACAACTTCTTGGAATTAAAAAGTATCAAACATCTGTGAGTTCAATTCAATACAAATTAAATTGTAATTAAATTAGCTACTTTTAGCATCCAGTATACATAAATGCCGATATTCGTCCAACCCAAAGTTGAAATTATTCTTGTTAGACTGACTTTGTGCACCATTTTTTGAAGCACAAACTCATCTAAAACATGACTTCACTCATATCAAGCAATAACCCCTCGCTTTGCATTGCATTTTCGCTTAAGTGACGAAACAATGGCTTTTAACAATAGTAATTAGCACTAACTGATAGGTGATAGGAGAGAACTCATCATCTATTTTTATCAAAACTTAGATCTACTGCTGTAACTGCTAGCTCTCTGCTTTCCATTTGGAGACAAGTCTTCGAAAAACCTACAACAGATGAAGTCATGTTTAATGCATATACTGATTATATATGTCCAAAAATGAGATTGCTTATAGAAATACACAAATGATGAAGTCATGCTCTGAAAGCTATCTACAAATTTGATAATTATAAACGAACGAAGGATGTCGCTTAGTGGTCAATGAACTGAGTGCAAACTTTAGAGATTAGGATTAAAGTTCAAGTGGAGACAAAAACCACTTGGCATATTCCCATATGTGTAAGCCCTGATGGTCCCATTTACCCGATACTTTTACTAGTGGGAGGTAGTAGGAGGCAGAGCTATGATTTGAAGTTACAAGTTTGGGATTCTACTCTTTTTATTTTATTTTTTGAGTAATTTTTTTTATTATTAACAGAAAAGAAAAATACAACAATTAGGAAAAGTACATATAAGGGGGACAATAGCACCGATATTGTTACCCATATGCCTTGCTATATAATCACTTCTCTGCGCCTCACATTGCCTATGACAGCCTCATGTAGAAGATTCATGGTGTAGCTGCCTGCATTGTCTCACGAGGGCATATAATCTCATAGCCGTGTGAATATTTTCCAAAGGCATAGGACCAAGGCAACACAAACCGGGCTAAACCTTACCTTACTAATCCTATTGAGGCATAAAAAACCTCACCTACTAGCATGCATGTAAAAAAAAAAAATTACTGGATTCCGCCAAACCCAGAACTCAAAGGCTAGCTTCACCTCTGAGTAGGTACCCTGTGGATAATCGAGGTGTGCTACTGACCAGGGCGCCACCATTATAAAATTTTTGAAAATCATAAATGAGGATGGACCAAAAGAATGATTTCAGAAAATTAATTTGCATGGTAATGACAAAATGAGTTTTGAAGAACTTACATTTCCATCATTTTCTTTCTCTTATCACTGCAAATGTAGGAGCTCAGCTGTTCAATCGCCATATTGGAAAATGTCTCGTCTAAATCAAGATTTAACAAATTACATGCATCTAAATTTGCAGAGGACTCAGCTGTACCAGGGAGAGATCTTTAAGTTTCCCTTTAAGATTCTCAATCAAAATAAGACTTGCCAAATAGACATTATGAGAAAATAATAAAAAGATCAAAAACTTCACTTAAACCAATAATTTTTTTTATAATCGAAAAATCTCCGAGCATCAGTAGCGTACAGTAAATTATGCAAATGCCCTTCCTCTCCAACATACACTTAAATATCAGGTTTTTGTCTGCAAAGCGGCATGAACCAATAACGTGCGCCTAATTCACGCATCACACGTTGCGTTCTTCCCATCAGATATTGGGGGCTTTCACTTAAACCAATGCATGATTTATGTCATTTAAGACAAAATTACTTTACAAAATATCCGGAGCTGACCCGAGTGTTGCACATAAATTTCTCTTTTAAAGTAACACTTAATCTGGAACAAAACTAGATAAATAATTCAACAATTTATACAGCAAATAACAAATATTTCACCAATTATTCACTAGTGCAAGCTTCAATTTAACCAAATTTTTTTGTTACAAATTCTGGAGAATAAGAAAAAACTTACTGAGTGCTCGGATGGTCTTCAAATCAAAGTTGTTAGCTAAAGATTCATGACCAATTTTTTGGGCACGTTGTTGTATCAACACTTTCAAACCTATTAATAAATCGTAACAATTCAACCAAATAAAACCTAAGATATCACTCAAAAATAAAAAAAAATAAAACACACACACGCACACATACGAGGAGAGACAACTTACAAGTTAAGACTCGGTTAAAGAACAAAGCCATCGAACATCTTCAATTCTACTATTCCCTAAAATAGCCCTTTCTTCTTTCATCTTAATTGAAAAATTGGTCGAATTTAGGGACAAAAAGAAAAAGCAATTAGCAGAAGAAAAGTTTAACGTGACCAGCGCCTGCTACTTGAAATAAGAGGGGGAGAAGTGTAGTAATATGTTATGATTCAATTGTAATAGAGATAAAAATTAGTTTGGATCAGCTGGGTTAGTTAGAAGTTAACAACCGAGTTAGTTAGAAATTAGTTAGAGTTGTAGGGCCTATCACGTGAGGGGCACATGTTTCCCAAAGTTAGTTATAACTAACTTTCCCTCCAAGCTTCCCCTCCTAGATTTCCCTTCCTATATCAGTAGAATCATTGACTATGGTACACATGCTTTTTCTGTTAATTGTTAGAGATAACTATGTAATTGTCCCACATTGGAATAGGAGTAGTAACCCCTTTGTATAGAGTAGCTATAAATAACACCTTTTGTATTGCATCACACACAACATCAATATATATCATATTTTCTCCCGTGCCTTCTCACATGGTATCAGAGCTATCGTGAGAGATTTATCGCTGTGTATAAATTCCAGCGATTCCGGGAAGTAAAATCAGTCACCGGAACCTTTTTTTTTCCGGCGACTTTCAAAGTTGTTTTGCGTCTGCTTTGTCTCGGTCAGTGTTATGCACAAAATCCAACACTACCACAAGAGTAGTCACTGTCCGGCGACCAAATCCCAGTGAAAATGTTCGGCGGTACTGTAGCTGTCCAAAGAAAATTTTCCGGCGAAGTTCCAATGTTGCGTGTGCCACCTTCCGGCCATTTTTTGGCGACGACTCTTCAGGACAGATTGTTTCCCTTGCAATTCTGAGCCTACCCATCCAGGTTACACCAAATTCCGACCACTTTTTTTTTATTTTTCCGGCGTGAATAATGATTTCAAAAAAAAAGTGGACTTCCGGCCATTTTTTGAAAAAGTTCATTCAAAACAGTTGGGTCTTCTGGTAATTCCGATCCTACCCCTACTGTTTTTATTTCATTCCGACCACTTTGAATATTTTCCGGATGCAACAGTAACTTTCCAACTGCTACAGTAGTTTCCTATTCTGGTTCAGTGTTCCTTACTCTATTTTCAGTGGATTACAGTTGATTATTTCTCTTATTTGGTAATAATTTATAAGATGTCTTTGGGAATTGATGTTTTTGGGTCTAAAAGCATGAGTTCTGGAAACTCTAATGTTATGATTACCTCGGAACCTTTAATGGGAGGTTCAAACTACTTAGCTTGGGCTTCATCTGTCGAGTTGTGGTGTAAAGGTCAAGGTGTGCAAGATCATCTGATTAAACAGTCTAGCGAAGGAGATGAAAAGGCGATAGCGCTTTGGGCAAAAATTGATGCTCAATTATGTAGCATCTTGTGGCGTTCTATTGATTCTAAGTTGATGCCTTTGTTTCGGCCATTCCAGACATGTTATTTGGTTTGGGCAAAGGCTCGCACGTTATACACTAATGATATATCTCGCTTCGATGTGATATCACGGATGACAAACTTAAAGAAGCAAGAATTAGATATGTCTACTTACTTGGGT